CTTCCCCCCCCCCCCCGGCTTGGTCAGGAACTATTGGGGATCCATAATAAACCCCCAGGAAGTGTAGCTGCTGCCTTGGCAGGAACTAATGGGGATCCCTAATAAACCCCAGGAAGAGTAGCTGCTGCCTTGGCAGGAACTAATGGGGATCCATAATAAACCCCAGGAAGAGTAGCTGCTGCCTTGGCAGGAACTAATGGGGATCCATAATAAATACAAATACACACACACACTCCACATGCACACCACACACACACACACACAAACACACCCCTGACCTCTGTCCTAAAGTTAAAAATGTAAGCCTAGAAGATGGTGTGTGCCCTCAGATATGGAGGGAGGCAAAGGTCAAATCCACTACCCAAGAATAGCAGAACACCTTTTAATGGTTCAAACGGCCGACCAATCAGCCTGTTACAGGTGCTTAGCAAACTTTTGTTTTCTGTTTTTACTAATGACCTTCCACTGACCTTGAATAAAGCCTGTGTGTCTGTACGCTGACGAATCAACAGCATACACGTCGACTGCAACAGTAAAATAAATAACTGACACCCTTAACATAGAGCTCCAGGCAGTTTTAGAATAGGTAACTAAAATAGGCTGGTGCTAAATATCTTAAACTAAAAGCATCATTTTGGGGATATATCACTTGCTCAACTCTAAACCTCGTTTAGATCTATTATTGAATAATGTTGCTATTGAGCAAGTTGAGGAGACTAAACTGCTGGGTGTAACCCTAGATAGCAAGCTGTCATGGTCAAAACATATAGACTCAATGGTTGTTAAGGGAAGTGGTCTGTCCATGATAGGGCGTTGCTCTGCCTTGTTGACATCTCAGTCGACCAGACAGGTCCTACAGGCCCTAGTTTTGTCGCACCTGGACTACTGCCCACCTGTGTGGTCATGTGCGGCAAAGAAGGACATGGGTAAATTACAGTTGGTCCATGAACAAAGCAGCACGTATCGTACTACGGTCCTCTGTAGCTCAGCTGGTAGAGCACGGCGCTTGTAACGCCAGGGTAGTGGGTTCGATCCCCGGGACCACCCATACGTAAAAATTGATGCACACATGACTGTAAGTCGCTTTGGATAAAAGCGTCTGCTAAATGGTATATTATTATTATATTATATTATATACATGGAGGGAAAGTGTCAGTAACATGCATGTCAGTCTCTCCTCAACTTACACTCCTACTACAATACTACTACTACAACAATACTACTACTATAACTACTACTACTACTACTACTACTACTACTACTACTACTGCTACTACTACTATACTACTACTACTACTACTACTACTACTACAATAATACTACTGCTACTACTACTACAATAATACTACTACTACTACTACTACTACTACTACTACTACTACTACTACTACTACTACTATACTACTACTACTACTACTACTACTGCATTACTTGTTCTTTGGGGTTTTAGGTTGGTGATCTGTAAAGTACTTTGTGAAAACTGCTGATGAAAATAGGGAATTCTAAAATACATTTGATTGAATTTGGTTGTTAGAAAACAATGAAGACATGTTGGCCTGATTCCCCCTCTGGGATAAATAACATGTTGGCCTGATTTTCCCTCTGGGATAAATAACGTGTTGGCCTGATTCCCCCTCTGGGATAAATAACGTGTTGGCCTGATTCCCCCTCTGGGATAAATAACGTGTTGGCCTGATTCCCCCTCTGGGATAAATAACGTGTTGGCCTGATTCCCCCCCTGGGATAAATAACATGTTGGCCTGATTCCCCCCTCTCTGGGATAAATAACGTGTTGGCCTGATTCCCCCTCTGGGATAAATAACATGTTGGCCTGATTTTCCCTCTGGGATAAATAACGTGTTGGCCTGATTCCCCCTCTGGGATAAATAACGTGTTGGCCTGATTCCCCCTCTGGGATAAATAACGTGTTGGCCTGATTCCCCCTCTGGGATAAATAACGTGTTGGCCTGATTCCCCCCCCTGGGATAAATAACATGTTGGCCTGATTCCCCCTCTCTGGGATAAATAACATGTTGGCCTGATTCCCCCCTCTCTGGGATAAATACATGTTGGCCTGATTCCCCCTCTGGGATAAATAACATGTTGGCCTGATTCCCCCTCTGGGATAAATAACATGTTGGCCTGATTCCCCCTCTGGGATAAATAACATGTTGGCCTGATTCCCCCCCTGGGATAAATAACATGTTGGCCTGAATCCCCCTCTGGGATAAATAACGTGTTGGCCTGATTCCCCCTCTGGGATAAATAACGTGTTGGCCTGATTCTCCCTCTGGGATAAATAACATGTTGGCCTGAATCCCCCTCTGGGATAAATAACGTGTTGGCCTGATTCCCCCTCTGGGATAAATAACATGTTGGCCTGATTCCCCCCCCTGGGATAAATAACGTTTTAGTAATTGAATGTATTATAGAGACTCCTGCTGGGTTGCTGGTGTCTGTAGTAATGATGATGATGATGATGATGATGATGATGATGATGATGATGATGATGATGATGATGGTGTGTGTTCTATGTGGGTTGTTTTGCTGGTGTCTGTAGTAATAATGATGATGATAATGATGGTGTGTGTTCTAGGTGGGTTGTTTTGATCCGTATAGTGATGATCCTCGTCTGGGGATCCAGAAGATCAGTCTCTGTAAACACAGCTGCAGACTGGTGGTGGCTGGGACCGCTGGACAGGTACAGAACACACACACAGAGAGATAGACTGGTGGTGGCTGGGACCGCTGGACAGGTACAGAACACACACACACACAGAGAGATAGACTGGTGGTGGGCTGGGGACCGCTGGACAGGTACAGAACACCACACAACAGAGAGATAGACTGGTGGTGGCTGGGACCGCTGGACAGTACAGAACACACACACACAGAGAGATAGACTGGTGGTGGCATGGGACCACGCTGGACAGGTACAGAACACACACACACAGAGAGATAGACTGGTGGTGGCTGGGACCGCTGGACAGGTACAGAACACACACACACAGAGAGATAGACTGGTGGTGGCTGGGACCGCTGGACAGGTACAGAACACACACACACAGAGAGATAGACTGGTGGTGGCTGGGACCGCTGGACAGGTACAGAACACACACACACAGAGAGAGATAGACTGGTGGTGGCTGGGACCGCTGGACAGGTACAGAACACACACACACAGAGAGATAGACTGGTGGTGGCTGGGACCGCGGGACAGGTACAGAAACCACACCCACAAGAGATAGACTGGTGGTGGCTGGGACCGGGGGCTGGACAGGGTACAGAACACACACACACAGAGAGATAGGCTGGTGGTGGCTGGGACCGCTGGACAGGTACAGAACACACACACACAGAGAGATAGACTGTGGTTGGCTGGGACCGCTGGACAGGTACCAGAACACACACACACAGAGAGATAGACTGGTGGGTGGCTGGGACCGCTGGACAGTTACAGAACACACACACACAGAGAGGATAGACTGGTGGTGGCTGGACCGCTGGACAGGTACAGAACACACACACACGAGATAGATAGGCTGGTGGTGGGCTGGGACCGCTGGACAGTGTACAGAACACACACACACAGAGAGATAGGCTGGTGGTGCTGGGACCGGCTGGACAGGTACAGAACACACACACACAAGAGATAGACGGGTGGTGGCTGGGACCCCGCTGACAGGTACAGAACACACACCACACAGAGAGATAGACTGGGTGGTGGCTGGGACCGCTGGACAGGTAACAGAACACACACACACAGAGAGAGATAGGCTGGTGGTGGCTGGGACCGCTGGGACAGGTACAGAACACACACACACAGAGAGATAGACTGGTGGTGGCTGGGACCGCTGGACAGGTACAGAACACACACACACAGAGAGATAGACTGGTGGTGGCTGGGACCGCTGGACAGGTAACATAACACACACACACATAGAGATAGACTGGTGGTGGCTGGGACCGCTGGACAGTACAGAACACACACACACAGAGAGATAGACTGGTGGTGGCTGGGACCGCTGGACAGGTACAGAACACACACACCAGAGAGATAGACTGGTGGTGGCTGGGACCGGCTGGAACAGGTACAGAAACCACACCACCGAGAGATAGGCTGGGTGTGGCTGGGACCGCTGGACAGGTACAGAACACACACACAGAAGAGATAGACTGGTGGTGGCTGGGACCCGCTGACAGGTACAGAACACACACACACAGAGAGATAGACTGGTGGTGGCTGGGGACCGCTGGACAGGTACAGAACACACCACACAGAGAGATAGACTGGTGGTGCTGGAACCGCTGGACAGGTACAGAACACACACAGAGGATAGACTGGTGGTGCTGGGGACCGCTGGACATGTACAGAACACACACACACAGAAGAGATAACTGGTGGTGTGCTGTGACCGCTGGACAGGTACAGAACACACACACACAGAGAGATAGACTGTGGTGGCTGGGACCGCTGGACAGGTACAGAACACAACACACACACAGAGAGATAGACTGGTGTGGCTGGACCGCTGGCAGGTACAGAACACACACACACAGAGAGATAGACTGGTGGTGGCTGGGACCGCTGGAACAGGTACAGAACACACACAGAGAGATAGCTGGTGGTGGCTGGGACCGCTGGACAGGTAAGAACACACACACACAGAGATAGACTGGTGGTGGCTGGACCGCTGGACAGGTACAGAACACACACACAGAGAGATAGACTGGTGGTGGCTGTGGACCGCTGGACAGGTACAGAACACACCACACAGAGAGATAGGCTGGGTGTGCTGGGACCGCTGGGACAGTACAAAACACACACACAGAGAGATAGACTGGGGTGGCTGGGCCCGCGGGACAGGTACAGAACACACACACACAGAGAATAGACTGGTGGTGGCTGGGACCGCTGGACAGGTACAGAACACACAACACAGAGGATAGACTGGTGGTGGCTGGGACCGCTGGACAGGTACAGAACACACCCCAGAGAGATGGCTGTGGTGGCTGGGACCGCGGGACAGGTACAAACACACACACAACAGAGAGATAACTGGTGGTGGCTGGACGCTGGACAGGTACAAAAACACCACACAACCACAGAGACACAACAGAGACCACACCACACCACACCACATACACACACACCCACACACACACAACACACACACACAGAGAACCACACACACACACACAGAGACACACACACACACACACACAAATACACACACACACGAGAGAACACCGACACACACACAGACACAGAACACACACACACACACACAGACACAGACACACACACAGACACACACACACAGAGTACACCTGTGTTTGTGTAATTAGGACACTCACTCTTCTTCTGAGAGCTCTGTCAATAAAATCGAATTGTGTGTGTCTCTGTTTGTGTGTCTCTGTTTGTGTGTGTCTGTATGTGTGTGTGTGTCTCGTGTGTGTGTGTGTCTCTGTGTGTGTGTGTGTCTCTCTGTGTGTGTGTGGTGTGTGTGGTGTGTCTCTGTGTGTGTCTGGTGTGTGTGTGTGTGTGTGTTTGTCTGTGTGTGTCTCTGTGTGTCTGTGTCTGTGTGTGTGTGTGTGTGTCTCTGTGTGTGGTGTGTGTGGTGTGTGTCTCTCTCGTGTGTGTGTGTTGTGGTCTCTGTGTGTGTGTGTGTGTGTCTCTGTGTGTGTGTGTCTCTGTGTGTGTGTGTGTGTGTGTGTGTGTGTGTGTGTGTGTCTCTGTGTGTGTCGTGTGTGTGTGTGTGTGTGTGTGTGTGTGTGTCTCCAGGTGATCATGCTGGGTCTGAGTGATGAGCGGTCGGACCACACGGTCGATGTCTCCACGGTCGACCTGCTTCAGGACCGAGAGGGGTTCACCTGGAAGGGCCATGATAGGCTGGAGCCCCGAGCCAGCCCTGCCCCCTTCCCTCCAGGCTTCCAGCCATTGGTCCTGGTGCAGGCCCTACCCCCAGCCTCTGTTACCGCGGTGATGCTGCATGCGGAGTGGAACCTCGTAGCGTTTGGGACGAGTCACGGCTTCGGACTGTTTGACTACCACAGACGCACTGCTGTCCTGGCCAGGTACACACACACACACACACACACACACACACACAACACACACACTGCTGTACACACACATGACTGTTCTGGCCAGGTACACACATTTTAAAATGTTTTATTTGAATCCACAAATGGCCAAAATGTATGAGTCTGATTGGACAGGCACTCTGCAGCTATTCAGCTAAACTCAGAGGAATCAAGTTGACCTCCGTACACAGCAGAGGAAGGACCAAGTCACCAAGTATTATTCCAGTCACAGGGTTTGAGTCGTCTAGTCCCAAGTAGAGCGGATCGAGTCTCAGGTCAAGCCCAGGTCATGCATTCTAAGAGCAAGACGAGTCTCAGGTCAAGCCCAGGTCATGCATTCTAAGAGCAAGACGAGTCTCAGGTCAAGCCCAAGTCAGGGCTTTTCTAAAGCAAGACGAGTCATACGTTTTTTAAAGGGGAAAGCCCAAAAAAAAAAAAAATCAAACATCAATAAACTTTTTAAACTTCCAATTTTTTTCCCTTTTTATTGATTCTCCCAGTATTAAATTATTTATTGAGTCTACCTGACTTGATTATTTATTGAGTCTACCTGACTTGATTATTTATTGAGTCTACCAGATTGATATTTTTTGGGGTCTACTAGACTTGATTATTTATTGAGTCTACCAGTATTGATTATTTATTGAGTCTACCAGTATTGAATTTATTTATTGAGTCTACCAGTATTGATTATTTATTGAGTCTACCAGTATTTATTATTTATTGAGTCTACTAGTATTGATTATTTATTGAGTCTACCAGTATTGATTATTTATTGAGTCTACCAGTATTGATTTTTTAAATTGAGCCCTCCCAATTTTGATTTTTTAATTGAGCTCCCCATTTATTGTTTAAATTTTTGGGGTCTACCAGTAGGTTATTTATTAGTCAAACCGTATTGTTTTATTTTTTGAGCCCTACCCAGTTTTGATTTTTTTATTGATTCAAACTGATTTTTATTATTTATTGAGTTACCCAGTATTAAATTTTTTTTTAGTCTATAGACTTGATTATTTATTGATTTCCACCAGTAGGGGTTTTATTTATGGGTCACCAAAATTGATTTTTTTATTGATTTAAAACCTGACTTATTATTTTTTACCCTACCAGTATTGTTTATTTTTTGGGGAGTTCCCATATTTTTTAAATTTTTGGTCTACCAGTTGATTTTTTAAATTGGGCTCCCAAAGTTTTGATTATTTTTGAGCCCTACCAGTATTGATTTTTTTTGAGTTACCAGTATTGATTTTTATTAGTCACCGTATTTTTATTTTTTGATCTAACGGGATTTGATTTTTTATTGAGTCTACCAGAAATTGTTTTTTATTGAGTCTTTTAGACTTGTTATTTATTGAGTCTACCAGTTTTGTTTTATTTTTTTGAGTTTACCAGTTTTTATTATTTTTGAGTTACCAGTATTGATTATTTTTTGGGTCAAACCAGTTTTGATTATTTTTTGAGTTACTAGACTTGTTTTTTATTGAGTCTCCCAGTTTTGATTATTTTTGATTTCCCCCATTTTTGGATTTTTTTAAATTGACCCAAACCAGTTTTGATTTTTTAAATTAAAGTCTACCATTATTGATTATTTTGAGTTTACCATTATTGATTATTTTTGGGGTTACCAGTATTGTTTTATTTATTTGAGTCTACCAGTTTTGGGGTTATTTTTTGAGTCTAATGACTTTATTTTTTTTATTGAGCCCACCAGTTTTGCTTTTAAATTGGTCAAAGGGAATTGATTTTTTAAATTGAGTCTACCGGGTTTTGTTTATTTATTGATTTAAAACCATTATTGTTTTTATTTTTGAGTCTCCCTGATTTGGGATTATTTATTGATTTAAAACCAGTTTTGATTATTTTTTGAGTCTCCCAGTTTGTTTAATTTATTGAGTCAAAACCAGACTTGATTTTTTATTGGGTCAACCGGGATTGTTATTTATTGAGTCTACCAGTATTGATTATTTATTGAGTTACCAGTTTGATTTTTTTGACCCACCATTTATTGTTTTTTATTGGTCTAACTGACTTATTATTTTTGAGTTCCCAGTATTGTTATTTATTGAGCCCAAATAAATTGATTTTTTATTGGGTCACCAGAAATTGATTATTTTTTGGAGTCTCCCAGATTAAATTTTTTTATTGATCTACCAGTATTGATTTTTTTATTGAGTCACCTGACTTGTTTATTTATTGAGCCCTCCCATTTTGATTTTTTTATTGAGTTTTCCCGTTTTGATTATTTATTGAGTCTACCAGTTTTTGATTTTTTATTGATTTCTACCAGTTTTTGATTTTATTGAGTCAAACCAGTTTTGATTTTTTTATTGAGGTCTCCCATTTTGATTATTTATTGAGTCTACCAGTATTGATTATTTATTGAGTCTTAGGGGCAGTCCTCTCTCTTGCAGTGATCCTAGCTGTATTTTTTATTTAGGGCCCGTCCCCCCTCTCTGAAAGTGATCCAAAGCTGTATATTTATTATGGCAGCCCCTCCCTCTCGCAGCTGATCCTAGTGTAATTTTTTTAGGGCAGTCCCCCCTCTCTGCAGCTGACCCTTTAGGGATATTTTTTTAGGGCAGTCCCCCTCTCTGCGGGCTGTCCTAGCGGGAAATTTTATTTAGGGCACCCTCCCCTCTGCAGCGGATCCTAGCGTAAAATTTATTTATGGCATCCCCCTCTCGGCCCTGTCCTAGCTGAAATTTTTTATTTAGGGGCAGCCCTTTCCCTCTCGAAGCTGATCCAGCTTGTAATTTATTTATGGCAGTCCCCCCTCTCTGCACCCTGATCCTACCTTTTATTTTTTTTTTTTGGGGCCGGTCCTCTCTCTCGGCAAAGCTGACCCTAGGAAATTTTTAAATTTTTTGGCAGTCCCCTCTCTGCAGCTGATCCTAGCTGTATATTTATTTATGGCAGTCCTCCCTCTCTGCAGCTGATCCTAGCTGTATATTTATTTTGGAAAGCCCCTCCCTTTTGGCACTGACCCTTAGCTGTATATTTTTTAGGGCAGTCCTCCCTCTCTGCGGCTGATCCTGTGTATTTTTTTTAGGGCAGCCTTTCCCTCTCTGCGAATTAATTTTGAAATTTTATTTATGGCAGTCCCTCCCTCTCTGCAGCTGATCCTAGCTGTATATTTATTTATTGGCAGTCCTCCCTTTTGCAGTGACCTGGGCTGTATTTTTTTTTATGGCAGCCCTCCCCCCTTTTTGGCAGCTGACCAGCTTTAATTTTTTTTAGGGGCCAAGTCCCCCTCTCGGCAGCTGATCCTAGCTGTTATTTTGATTATGGCAGTCCCCCCTCCTGCAGCTGATCCTAGGGATATTTTTTTAGGGAAGTCCTCCCTCTCTGCAGTGATCCTAGCTGTAATTTATTTAGGGCAGTCCCCCTCTCTCACTGATCCTAGCTCGTATTTATTTAGGGCATTTCCCCCTCTCTGAGTGATCCTAGCTTTATTTTTTAATTTTGGGCAGTCCCCCCCTCTCTGCGGGCTGATCTAGCTGCGTATTTATTTATGGCAGTCCTCCCTCTCTGCAGCTGTCCTAGTTTGTATTTTATTTGGGGGCAGTCCTCCCCCCTCGCAGCGGATCCAGCTGGTATTTTTTGGCAGTCCCCCTCTGCAGTGCCCTAGTTTTATATTTTTTTTTTATGGCAGTCCCCCCCTTCTGCAGCTGACCTAGCTGCGTATTTTTATGGCATCCTCCCTCTAATCAGTGACCCTAGAGTTTGTATATTTATTTATGGCAGCCCTCTCTCTCGGGAAAGCGACCCTAGAGCTTTTATTTTTTATTTATGGAGTCCTTCTCTCTGCAGTGACCTAGCTGTATATTTTTTTATGGCGGGCCCTCCCTTGAGTGATCCCTACTGTATATTTTTTTTTGGGCAGTCCTCTCTTTTTGCAGTTTGATCCAGGCGGGTTTTTTTATTTATGGCAGCCCCCTCTCTCTCTGCAGTTGATCCTACCTGTATTTTTTTTATGGAATTTCCTCTTTTCTCTGCGTGATCCAGTGTATATTTATTTATGGAAAGTCCCCCCTCTCGCGGCTGATCCTAGCTGTATTTTATTTATGGAAGTCCCTCTCTCGGGCCTAAACCTAGGCTTTTAATATTTATTTAGGGCCGCCCTCTTTTCTCTGCACTGATCCTAGCTGTATTTTTTTATGGCAGTCCCCCCCTTTTTCAGCTGATCCTGGGCGTATATTTTTTTATGGCAGTCCGCCCCTCTCTGCAGTTTGTCCTAGTTGGTATTTATTTATGGCAGTCCCTCTCTTTTGCAGCCGATCCAGAGCTGTATTTTTTTTTAAGGCAGTCCCCCTCTTCTGCGTGATCCTAGTGAAATATTTTTTTTTGGCAGCCCCTCTCTCTCCAGCTGACCCTGCTGTATTTTTATTTATGGCATTTCCTCTCTCTCTGCAGCTGTTTCCTAGCTTTAATATTTTTATGGCACCCTCTCTCTTTTTTGCAGCTGATCCTAGCTGTATATTTATTTATGGCAGTCCTCCCTCTCTGCAGCTGATCCTAGCTGAAATTTAAATTTAGGGGCATTTCCTCTTCTCCTGAAATTTTATCCTACTGTTTATTAATTTAGGGCAGCCCCTCTCTCTCTGCGGGCTGATCCTAGTGTATTTTTTATTTATGGCAGCCCCTTTTCTCTCTGCACGGATCCTGGCTTATATTTATTTATGGCGGGTCCCCCCCTTTTCTGCAGGTTTCCTAGCTGTATATTTTTTTTATGGCGTCCTCTCTTCTGAAAGCTGACCCTTTGAGCTGTATATTTTTTTTTATGGCAGTCCTTCTCTTTTTGCAGCTGATCCTAGCTGTTTTTTTTATTTTTTCAGTCCTCTCTCTCTCCCACTGCCCTAGTTTGATATTTATTTAGGGCCCGTCCTCCCTCTCTGCAGCTGATCCTAGCGGGATTTTTTATTTATAAAAAGTCCTCTTCTTGCAAGCTATCCTAGAGGGGAAATTTATTTTGGAGCCTTTTCTCTTGCGCTGATCCAGCTGTTTTTTTATTTATGGCATCCCCCCCTCTCGGCAGCGGATTACTGCGATTTTTTTATGGCAGTCCCCCCTCCCAGCCTGATCCAAACTGTATATTTATTTAGGGCCCGTCCCTCTCTTTTGGCTGATCCTTGGGCTGTAATTTTTTTATGGCAGTCCTCTCTTCGCGCTGATCCTAGCGTATATTTTTTTATGGCAGTCCTCTCTCTCTGCAGTGTCCTGCTGCGTTTTTATTTATGGCGTCCCCCCCTCTCTGCGCTGATCCTAGCTGTTATTTTTTTTGGAAATTCCTTCTCTCTGCAGTGATTTTTATGTATATTTATTTATGGCAGTCCTCTCTCTCTGCAGCGACCCTAGAGCTGTTTTTTTTAAGGGCCCGTCCCTCTCTCTCTGCAGCTGATCCTAGCTGATATTATTTAGGCAGCCCTCTCTCTTCGGGAATCCTAGAGCTTAGTTTTAATTTAGGGGCAGCCCTCCTCTCTGAAAAGTTGACCCTAGCTTTTATTTTTATTTATGGCAGTCCCCCCCCTCTGAAGTGTTTCCTAGGGGTTTGTATATTTATTTATGGCAGTCCTCCCTCCGGGAGCGGATCCAGCTTTATTTTTTTTTAGGGCACCCCCTCTTTCTGCACGGGATCCTAGCTGTAATTTATTTAGGGCGCCCCTCTTTTCCTTTTCCAGTGATTTAGAGCTTATATTTTTTTAGGGGCAGCCCTCCCTTCTGCACCCTGATCCTAGAGCTGAAATTTTTTATTTATGGCGTCCTTTTCTCTCGCGGATCCTAGGTATTTTTATTTATGGCAGTCCTTCTCTCTGCACTGACCTAGAGCTTTTATATTTATTTATGGCAGTCCTTTTCCCCTCTGAAGTTTGACCCTAGAGTGTTATTTATTTATGGCATTCCTCTCTCTGCAGCTGATCCTAGAGCTGTATATTTTTTAGGGCAGTCCTTCATTCTGCAGTGTCCTACTGTTATTTTTTTATGGCAGTCCTCCCTCCTGCAGCGGATCCTGGGCTTTTATTTTTTTAGGGATTTCCCTCCTCTCTGCATTTTACCCTAGAGCTGAAAATTTATTTATGGCAGCCCTCCTCTCTGCAGCTGATCCTGCTGTATATTTTTTTAGGGCAGTCCCCTCTCTCGCAGTGTCTAGCTGTAAAATTATTTATGGCGTCCTCCCTCTCTGCAGCTGACCCTACCTGTTATTTATTTATGGCATCCCCCTCTTTTTCTGCAGCTGACCCTAGAGCTTTTATTTTTTATTTATGGCAGCCTCTCTCTTGCATTGATCCTAGTTTGTATATTTTTTTATGGGGGTTCCTCCCCTTTGCGTTTGTTTCCAGCGTATATTTTTTAGGGCAGTCCCCCCTCTCCCCAGCTTTTCCTAGCTGCGTATTTTTTTAATGGCAGTCCTCTTTCTGCAGCTAAACCCTAGAGCTGTATATTTTTTTTATGCAGTCCTCTCTCTCTGCAGCTGATCCTAGCTGTATATTTATTTATGGCAGCCCTTCCCTCTGCAGCTAAACCCACTGAAATATTTATTTAGGGGCAGCCCTCTCTCTTGCAGTGATCCTAGCGTTATTTTTTTATGGCATTTCCTCCCTCCCCTGAGTGATCCTAGCCTTATTTATTTATGGCAGCCCCCTCTCCCCCTCTGCGCGTTTCCTAGCTGCTTTATTTATTTAGGGCAGTCCTCTCCCCTTGAAGCTGATCCTAGCTCCATTTTTAAATGGCGGGCCTTTCCTCTCTGCAGCTGACCCCTAGAGCGGTTTTTTTTATTTTTTGGGCAGCCTCTCTCTCTGCGCTGATCCTAGTTTGAATATTTATTTTTTGGCATTCCTCTCCCCGGGCAGCTAAACCCTAGTGTTTTTAAATTTATGGCATTCCTCTTCTCTGCAGCTGACCCTGAGTGTATTTTTATTTTGCAGTCCCTTCCCCTTTTGCAGCTGACCTAGCTTTAAATTTTATTTATGGCAGTCCTCTCTTTCTGCAGCTGACCCTTTAGGGGTTTTTTTTAATGGCAGCCCTCTCTCTGCATTTGTTTCCTCTGTATATTTTTTTAGGGGCAGTCCTCTCTCTCTGGGGCTGACCCTAGCGGGAAATTTTTTATTTTGGGCCCGTCCCTCTCTCTGCATTTATCCTAGAGCTGTATATTTATTTATGGCAGTCTCTTTTCCTGAAAACTGTTTCCTAGAGCTGTATATTTATTTATGGCAGTCCTCTCCCCTTCTGAAGCTGATCCAAATTGTATTTTTATTTATGGAAGCCCTCTTCTGCAGCATCCTGGGCTGTATATTTTTTTTACGGCAGTCCCTCCTCTCGCGTGATCCTAGAGCTGTATATTTTTTTTGGGCAGCCTCTCTCTCTGCACTGATCCTAGCTGTATATTTTTTATGGCAGTCCCCCCCCCCCTTTTGCAGCTAAACCCCTAGCTGTGTATTTATTTTTTTGGCAGTCCCCCTCTCTGCACTGACCCTACTGAAATATTTTTTTTTATGGCAGTCCTCCCTCTCTGCAGCTGACCTGGGGGGGTTTATTTATTTATGGCGGGTCCCCCCCTCTCTGCACTAAACCCTAGGATATTTATTTTGGCAGTCCTCTCTCTCGGGCAGTTTTCCTAGAGCGGGAATTTTTTTTTATGGCAGCCCCTCTCTTTTTCGGGCCCTGACCAAACTGTATTTTTAAATTTAAATGGCAGCCCTCTCTCTCTGCAGCGGACCCCTAGTGCGTTTTTTATTTATGGCAGTCCCCCTCTCTGCAGCGACCCCAGCTTTTAAATTTATTTAGGGCCCGTCCTCTCTCTGGCAGCTGATCCTAGAGTTTAAATTTTTTTTTATGGCAGCCCTTCTCTTTCAGCTGATCCTAGCTGTATTTTTAATTTTTTGGCATTTTCCCCTCTCTCTCTGCAGTTTATCCTGGGTGTATATTTTATTTATGGCAGTCCTCTCTCTCTGCAGCTAAACCCTTTTAGCTGATTTTTTATTTTGGCAGCCCCGCCCTCTCGGGCGGCTGATCCTAGAGCTTTATATTTTTTAGGGGCAGTCCCCCCCCCCTTTTTGCAGCGACCAAAGCTTTTTTATTTTTTTTATGGCCGCCCTCTCTCTTTTGCAGCTGATCCTGCGGTATATTTTTAGGGAAAGCCCCTCCTCTCTGAAGCTGATCCTAGAGTTGTAATTTTTTTTTTATGGATTCCTCTCTCTCTGCAGCTGATCCTAGAGCTGTATTTTATGGCAGTCCTCTTTTCGGGGGCGCTGACCTGGGTTTAAATTTTTATTTATGGAGTCCTTCTCTTGAAAGTGATCCTAGGCTGTTTTTTTTTTTAAAATGGCAGTCCTCTCTTCTGAAAGCTGACCCTAGAGGTATTTTTATTTATGGCAGTCCCCCTCTCTGCAGCTGATCCTAGAGCGGAATATTTATTTATGGCAGTCCTCTCTCTCGAAAGCTAAATCCTAGCTTTTTTTTATTTATGGAGTCCCCCCTCTCGCAGTGATCCTGGGCGGTATTTTATTTATGGCAGTCCCTCTCCTGCAGCTGATCCAGAGCTGTAATTTTTTTATGGCAGTCCTCCTCTCTGCAGCTGATCCTACGGGTTATTTATTTAGGGAATTTCCCTCTCTCTTGCGGGCGATCCAAAGCTGAAATATTTTTAAAAGGCCTTTCCCCCCTCTCTGCAGCTGATCCAGCGTAATTTTTTTATGGCAGCCCTCTCTCTCTGAGCTGATCCTGAGCTTTTAATTTTTTTTTTATGGCAGCCCTCTCCTCTGCGCTGATCCTAGCTGTATATTTTTTTAGGGCAGTCCCCCCTTTCTTGAAAAGCTGATCCTAGCTTTTATATTTTTTTAAAGGGCATTCCTCCCTCTCTCCCAAGCTGTCCTAGCTGCGTATTTTTTTGGGCATTCCTTCTCTCTCCCAGCTGACCCCTAGAGCTGTTTATTTTTTTTTAGGGCGTCCTCTCTTCCTGCGTGATTTAGCGGTATATTTATTTAGGAAAGTCCTTTTCTCTGAAAGCTAAATCCTAGCTTTTTTATTTATTTAAGGAAAAGTCCTCTCTCTCTGAAAGGCTGATTTTAGCTTTTTTTTTATTTATGGCGTCCTCTCTCTCTGCAGCTGATCCTAGTTTTATATTTTTTATGGCACCTCCCTCTCTGCAGTGATCCAAAGCGGAAAATTTTTATTTATGGCAGTCCCTCTCTCTGCAGGGGACCCTAGCTTTTATTTTTAGGGCAGCCCCTCTCTCTCGAGCTGATCCTAGCTTATTTTTTATTTTTTGGCAGTCCTCTCCTCTGCAGCTGATCCTAGTGTAATTTTTTTAAATGGCAGTCCTCCCTTTCTGCGGCTGATCCTATGTTATTTATTTTTTGGGCAGTCCCCCCTCTTGCGTTATCCTAGGGGCGAAATTTATTTATGGCAGTCCCTCTTCTGCAGTGATCCTAGCTCCATATTTATGGGGGCCTCCTCTCTGCAGCTGTCCTAGGGGCTTAATTTATTTAGGGGAAATTCCTCTTTTCTCTAGCTAAATCCTAGCGGTATATTTATTTATGGCAGTCCTCTCTGGCACTATCCTAGCTGTATATTTTATTTTAGGGCAGCCCCTCCCCTCTCCAGCTGATCCTAGACTGTATATTTTTTAATTGGAGTCCCTCTCTCTGCAGCTGTTTCCTAGCTGTATTTTATTTTTTGGCAGCCCCTCCCCTCTCTGAAAAGCGTTTTTTTTAGCTCCCTTTATTTATTTATGGCAGGCCCTCTCTCTGAAGCTAAACCCTAGCTGTATATTTTAATTTAGGGCCCATTCCTCTCTTCTGCAGCTGATCCTAGCTGTATCTTTATTTAGGGCGGCCTCTCTCTGCGTTTTATCCTAGAGCTGTATTTTTAAATTTAGGGGCAGCCCTTTTCCTGCAGCTATCCTAGAGCTGATATTTTTTATGGCAGTCCTCTCTCTCTTTGCAGCTGATCCTAGTGTATATTTTTTTTTATGGCATTCCTCTCTTTTGAAAGCTGATCCTAGTGTAATATTTTTTTTACGGGGGGGCCCCTCTTTTTCTCTGAAGCTGACCCTAGGCTGTATATTTTTTATGGCAGTCCTCTCTCCCCCCCCCAGCTGATCCTAGGGAATTTTTATTTATGGCAGTCCTCTCTCTCTGCAGCTGTCCAAAGCTGTATTTTTATTTTTTGGCAGCCCCTTCTCTCTGCAGCTGATCCAGCTGTATATTTATTTATGGCATCCCCCTCTCTCCCAAGCTGACCCCTAGTTGGTATATTTATTTATGGCAGTCCTCCCTCTCTGCAGCTGATCCTAGAGCTGTATATTTATTTATGGCAGTCCTCTCTCTCTGCAGCTGATCCTAGCTGTATATTTATTTAGGGAGTCGTCTCCTGCAGAATGACCCTAGGTATATTTATTTAGGGAGTCCTCTCTCCTCGCAGCGCCCCCTAGCTGTATTTTTATTTAGGGCCCTCCTCTCTTTTTCACTGATCCTAGAGCGGGTATATTTTTAGGGCAGTCCTCCCTCTCGGCAGCTGATCCTCCTGTATATTTATTATGGCAGTCCCTCTCTTGCAGCTGATCCTGAGCTTTATATTTATTTTTAGGCAGTCCCCCTCTCGGAAAGCTGATAAAGCTGTATATTTATTTATGGAAAGCCCTTCTCTCTCTGCACTAAATCCTAGAGCTGAAATTTATTTTTGGCAGTCCTCTCTCTCTGCAGCTGACCCTAGTGAAATTTTTTTTTGGGCCCGTCCTCTCTCCCCTGCAGCTGTTTCCAGAGCTGAAATTTTTATTTATGGCAGTCCTCCCTCCTGCAGCTAAATCCTAGCGGTTATTTTTTTAGGGGCGGGTCCTCTCTCTTGCAGCTGACCCTTTAAAAGCTGTATTTTTATTTAGGGCAGTCCTCTCCCCTCTGCAGGGGATCCTGCGGTATATTTATTTATGGCAGTCCCTCCCTCTCTGAAACGACCCTGCTGTATATTTTTTTATGGCAGTCCCCCTCTCTTTTGCAGCGGTCCTGCTGTATATTTATTTTTGGGCAGCCCTCTCCTCTGAAACTGATCCTGGGCCCTTGTTATTTATTTATGGAAGTCCTCTCTCTTTTCAGCTGTTTCCTAGAGCTGAAATTTTTAAATTTAGGGCAGCCCTCTTCTTGCAGCTGACCCTAGCTGTTATTTATTTAGGGCCCAGCCCTCTCTCTCGGAAAGCTGATCCTAGCTGTATTTTTATTTAGGGCCTTTCCTCTCCTCTCCCCGTGACCCTAAGCTGTATATTATTTTTTGCGGGCCCTCTCTCTCTGCGTGATCCTAGCTGTAATTTTTTATGCAGTCCTCTCTCTTGCAGCTGACCTGCTGTATATTTATTTATGGCAGTCCTCTCTCTCTGCAGCTGATCCTAGCTGTATATTTATTTATGGCAGTCCTCTCTCTCTGCAGCTGATCCTAGCTGTATATTTATTTATGGCAGTCCTCTCTCTCTGCAGCTGATCCTAGAGCTGTATATTTATTTATGGCAGTCCTCTCTCTCTGAAAAGTTTCCCTAGCTGTAATTTATTTAGGGGCAGTCCTCTTCTCGGGCAGCGGATCCTAGCTGTAATTTTTTTATGGCGTCCTTCCTCTGAAATGATCCTGCTGTATATTTTTATGGCGTCCTCTCTCTCGCGGGATCCAAAGCGTATTTTTTATTTAGGGGGCAGTCCCTTTCTCTGAAATTGATCCTGGAGCTAAACCCGCACGCAGCACTCTGTTCGCAGTCCCCTGACCTTTTGGTGATTGACATTTGTGGCCCAAATCAGGGGGCCCCGAGTGTTTTTTTTCACTACCCAAATTGTTCCCAACTTTTTTTTTTGGCGGGGTGGAGAGTAACCCACGGGGGACTCGGTGCTAAAAAATGAGTGCCCAAAACTTTCCCCCAAAAAAACCCCGGGCCCCAGACCATTCAAGTCACCCGGGCTCAAGTCAAGGCTCAAGTTTTTTGTTTTCTATAAAGCCCAATTTGACGGGAAAGTAAACACCTTTTGCACAACCCATGTTGTGCCCAAATTTTTGGTATTTTGGTTTTTTAAAACCCCAGGTAAAAAGGGCCCAAATGGTAAGATGACTCTCCAGGTGTCCCCTCTGGTGTGTTGTTAAGCTGTTCTATCTCTCTGTCTCCAGGTGTCCCCTCTGGTGTGTTGTTAAGCTGTTCTATCTCTCTGTCTCCAGGTGTCCCCTCTGGTGTGTTGTTAAGCTGTTCTATCTCTCTGTTGTCTCCAGGTGCCCCCCGGTGGGGTTTTTAAGCTGTTTATCTTCTGTTTTCCCAGGTGCCCCCTCGGGGGTGGTTTTTAACTTTTTTCTACCCTCTCTGTTGTTGTCCCCAGGTCCCCTGCACCCTAAGGGACCCCCTGCGATGGAGGGTCCTCTAAACCCTTGAAGAGTCTAAAGAAGTCTTTTAAACCCGAGTTTTCCCAACGCATCCGGAAGAGAAAGAGGTCTGGGAAGAAAAACCCCCCTTTCAACTCCCCCCTACCAGCAAGGTAACACCCCCCATCTCCGTTACTACCCCTACCAGCAAGGAAAACACACCCCATCTCCGTTACCCCCCTTTACCGAAATTTTAACAAACCCCCCCCTTTATCCCCCTACCACAAGGTAACCCCCAACCCCATCTCCGTTACTACCCCCTACCAGAAAGGGAAAACAAACACCCCATCTCCTTTATTTCCCCCCTCCCAGAAAGGGAAACCCCCACCCCCTTTCCTCCGTTATACCCCTCCGAAGGTAACAAAACCACTCCCGTTACTACCCCTACCGGGAAAGGGAACCCACACCCCATCCCTTTCCCTACCCCCCCCCCCAAAAGGGTTAACACACCCCATCTCCCGTTACACCCCTACCAGAAAGGGTAACCCCCCCCCATCTCCGTTACTCCCCCCAAAACCAGAAAGGGGAAACACAACCATCTCCTTTTACTCCCCCCTACCACCCAAGGTAACACCCCCCCCCATCTCCGTTACTCCCCCTACCAGCAAGGTAACCCCCCCATCTCCATTACTACCCCTACCAGCAAGGTAACACCCCCCATCCCCGTTACCCCCCCTACCACAAGGAAACCACACACCCCATCTCCTTTATACCAGAAGGGGTTAACCTTTTTCCCCCATCTGTTAAAAACCCCACCAAAAGGGGAAACACCCCCCCAATCCCCTTACTACCCCTCCCCAACAAGGGTAAAAACCCCAAATTCCCGTTACTACCCCAAACCGGGAAAGGGAAAAACCCCACCCCATTCCTTTACAAACCCCCTACCAGCAATTTTAACACCCCATCTCCTTTACTACCCCTACCGCAAGGAAACCAAACCATCCCCTTTACTACCCCTACCAAAAGGAAACCCACCCCCAATCCCGTTACCCCCCTACCAAAAGGAACATACCCAAATTTTCCGTTACTACCCCTACCAGCAAGGTAACACACCCCATCTCCGTTACTACCCCTACCAGAAGGGTTTCACCCCCCAAATCTCCGTTATTCCCCCCTCCCCGCAAGGTTAACACCCCCCCCCATCCCCATTACTCCCCCTACCAGAAAAGGTTAAACACCCCATCTCCTTTTAACTCCCCCCTCCAAAAGGAAAACACCCCCATCCCGGGTTTAAAACCCCTCCCAAGAAAGGTAAACCCCCCATCCCCGCCCCACCCCTCCCAGCAAGGAAACCCACCCCCATCCCCGTTACTACCCTTTCCCCAAAAAGGAAAAACACACCCATCCCCGGGTTACTAAAAACCCCTACCAAAGGTAACCCCCCCCATCCTGTTACAAACCCCCCCCTACCAGCAAGGTAACACACCCCATCTCCCTTTACAAAACCCCCACCAGAAAGGGGAAAACACCCCATCCCTTACTACCCCTCCCGAAAGGGGTAACACCCCCCCATCTCCTTTACCCCCTACCCCTACCAGGGGGGTTTAACACCCCCCCCATCCCCCTTTTCCCCCCTTCCCCCACCGAAAGGTAACACCCCCTCCCCCCGTTACACCCCCTACCAGAAAGGAAAAACACCCCCCCATCCCCCCGTTACTCCCCCCTAAAAAAAAAGGGTAACACAAACCCCATCTCCTTTACCCCCCAAAAAACCCCACCAGCAAGGAAACCCACCCCTCTCCTTACAAACCCTTCCCCAAAAGGAAAAACACCCCCCTTTCCCCGTTAACTCCCCCCTCCCAGAAAAGGTTAAAAAAACCCTTTCCCCCGTTCCTCCCCCTCCCAGAAAGGGAAACCCCAAAACCCATCTCCTTTTCCTCCCCCTACCAGCAAGGTTAAAAAACACCCCATCTGTTACTACCCTACCAGAAAGGTACACAAAACCCCATCCCCCTTTAAATCCCCCCCCCAAAAGGGTAACACCCCCTCTCCTTTAAATTTACCCTACCACCCAAGGAAAACCCCCCAAAAATTCCGTTACAAACCCTACCAAAAGGTAACAACCCCATTTCCGTAACTACCCCTACCACGGGGGTAACACCCCCCATCTCCTTTCCTACCCTACCAAAAGGTAACACACCCCCCCTCCGTTACTACCCCTCCCAAAAGGTTTTAACCCCCCCCACCCTCCGTTATTTCCCCCCCTACCACGGGGGAACACCCCCCCAAAATCCCCGGTACTCCCCCAAACCGGGCAAGGTAACACACCCCATTTTCCTTTAAATTACCCCTCCCCGCAAGGTAACAAAAACCCCCCTCCCCGGGTTATTACCCCTACCAGCAAGGTAACACACCCCATCCCCGGGAACTACCAGCAAGGTAACCCCCCCAAATTCCCCGTTACTACCCCTCCCCCACCAATCGTAACACCCCCCCAAATCTCCATTACTCCCCCACCAGAAAGGAACAAAAACCCCAAATCTCCTAACAAACCCCAAACCAGAAAGGGTAACAAAAACCCCTCCCCGTCAAATGTAATAGATTCTCCGGGGCACCCAAATTTAGGGGAAAGAACCCCGTGTTTGTAGGTGTGGAACACCCATTTCCGGTGTGTGTGTGAAAGGTCCAGGACCCAAACGCACGCTAGGCCGACCAGGAGGAGTAGCCCCCGGGTCCCCCAGAGGGGAAATCGAGCCGAGATCAGCTGACGCCCTCTCTGCCCGAGTGGTGCGTTTTTCATGGTTTCGCTGATACTTTAGAAGGGTTTATAAATTCTGGGCCCTGCCCTTTTTTAAATGCCCCGGTCTGTTTACATGTTTAATGTGGGGGGTGTCTCTGTTTTTAACGTGTCTCTTTTTCCCCCGTGTCTCTGTTTAACGTCCCCCTTTGTTTTTAACGTGTTCTTTTGGTTAACGTTTCTTTTTTTAAAGGTTGTCTCGTGTTAACGTGTCTCGGGGTTTAACGTGCCCTCATTTTAAAAGGTCTCTGTGTTAACGTGTCTCTATGTTAACTTTCCCTTGTGTTAACTGTCTCTGGGGTTAACGGCTCTGTGTTAAGTGCCCTCTTTTTTAAACTTTGTCTCTATTTTAAAGGTCTCTGTGTTAATTGTCTCTTTTGTTAACGTGTCTCTAAAACTTTGTCTCTGTTTTAAAAGGTTCTCTGTTTTAACGGTCTCTGTGTTAACGTGCCCTCTGTTTTTAAACGTGCCCTCTGTTTTAAACCTTTGTCCCAAAACGGTTCGTTTTAAACGTTTTCCTCTGTTTTAAACCCGTGTCTTTGTTAAGTGTCTCTGTTTAACGTGTCCCCTTTTTTAAACTTTGTCTCTATACGTGCCCTCTGTTTTAAACGGTCTCTGTGAAAAAGGTTTTTTCTCTTGTTTAACTTTGTCTCTTGTTAACGTGCTCTGTTTAACGTGTCTCTGTTTTAAAACGGGGTCTCTGTTTTAAACGTGCCCCTATAAGTGCCTGTGTTAAGGGTTTTCTTTTTAAACGTGTCTCTTTTTGTTAACGTGTCTTATTTTAAGTGTCTCTTTTGTTTAACCCGTGCCCTCTTGTTAATGTCTCTATAACGGGTTTGTTTTTTTAAGTGTCCTGTTTTAAAAGTGTCTCGGTTTTAAACGTGTCTCTATTTTAACGGGGCTCTATAACGGCTCTGTTTTAAAACCGGTCTCTGTGTTAACTTTGTCTCTGGGGTTTCCCGTGCCCTCTGTTTTAACGGTCTCTGTGTTAATTTTCCCTCGTGTTAACGTTTTTCCTCTGTTTTAACGTGTCCTTAAATGTCTCTTTTTTTAACTTTTCTGTTTTTAACGTGTCTCTGTTTTAAAACGTTCTCTGTTTTTAACTTTGTCTCTATAACGTGCCCTTTTTTGTTAACGTGTCTCTGTTTTAAAAACTTTCCCTTTTATTTTAACCCGTGTCTCTATGTTCCGTTTTCCTCTGTTTTAACGTGTCTCTGGTTAACGTGTCTCTATAACATGTCTCGTGTTAAGTGTCTCTAAACTTGTCTCTTGTGTTAAGTGTTCGGGTTTAAAGTGTCTCTGTGTTAACGTGTCTCTATAACGTGTCTCTGTGTTAACGTGTCTCTGTGTTAACGTGTCTCTGTTTTAAAACGTTCCCCCTGTTTTTTAAGTGTCTCTGTTTTTAAGTGTCTCTGTTTTAAAATTTGTCCTGTTTTAAACGTGTCTCTGTTTTAAACGTGCCCTCGGGTTTTAAACATGTCTCTGTTTAAAACGGGTCTCTGGTTAACTTTGTCTCTTTTTTAAACGTGTCTCTTGTTAACGTGTCTCGGGTTTTAAAACGTTCTCTTTGTTAAGTTGCTTTTTTTTAAAGGGTATCTTTTTTTAAACGGGTCCTTTTTTTAAAAGTGTCTCTATACGGGGCTCTGTTTTAACATGTCTCATGTTAATTTGTCTCGGGTTAACGTGTCTCAGGGTTAACGGGGTCTTGTTTTAACGTGTTTTCGTTTTAAACGTGTCTTTGTTTTAACGTTTCTGTGTTAACGTGTCTCTGTTTTAAGTTCTCTTTTAAGTGCCCTTTGTTAACGGTCTCTGGGGTTAACGTGTCTCAAAAGGGGGTCTCTGTTTTAAAACGTGTCTCGTTTTTAACGTGTCTCTAAAAACGGTCTTTGTGTTAACGTGTCTCTGTTTTAAGGGTGCCTATGTTAACGGTCTCGGGTTAACTTTTGTCTCTATTTAAACTTTGTTTTTGTTTTAAACGTGTCTCTGTTTTAAAAGGTTGTCTCTATAACGTGTTTTGTTTTAAAATTTTCTTATAACGTGTCTCTGTGTTAACGTGTCCCCCCTTATTTTTAAACCGGTCTCTTTTTAACTGCCCTTTTGGTTAACGTGTTCTAAAAAACTTGCCCTTTTGTGTTAACTTTTCCCTCTGTTTTTAAACGTGTTTGTTTTAAAACGGGCTTAGGAACGGTCTAAAAACGTCCCTCGTGTTAAGTTTCCTATTTTAAACCCGTGTCTCTGTTTTTAAAGTGTCTCTATTTTTAACGG